ACATGGTCCGGAATAGTGACATCCGGAAGAGCCTTGGAATACAGCCTTTGCCTCTCCAGATTGAGAAGTCTCAGCTGCGATGGCTTGGGCATGTGTTGCGAAGACTCCAGAAAGGAAGGCTAAGTAACTGTTCCTTGCAAATCCGACCGGCAGAGGGCCCAGAGGACGGCAAAGATTAACCTGGTGAAAATATATGGAAGGTGTCTGTTCCATGCTCCAGCTGTCTTCTGCCAAAGCTCAGACTGTGGCGCAGTATCGGAAACGTTGGAAGCTCTATCTAACGCGTCTGTCTCCGAGACCCGGAAGGTGATGCGGCGATGGAAGATGAAAGATTAGGGTCTGTCTCAAAAATAGCAGCATCACCGTTTAGTCTTAAATGTGGCAACAGTCACTGCTTGCAGGATTTTTGTTGAGCTGAAAAGCTACTGACGGTAGACATAGAGGAAAACTCCATCGCTTTTCAAAATATTTCGTTCCAGTCATTGAGTTTCGAAGATCGTTTACCCGTTTGGGTCGCAGAAGCAGACGCGTCAGGTAGAGTCTCCAAAGCTCCTGAACCTATGCCAGCGTTCGAGCTTCGACAGTAGATTAGAAGATGACAAAAGTTGACTTTCTTCAGGTTATTCTTGGCCGTCTCTGGGGTCTTTGGTCGAATTGTTGGCAATTAGTATTTGCTCGCTTTTCTTTCTGAAAGTATTTGCAATATGTGCTCAGGCCATCGCCGGCGCTAAAGCTTTTAAAATATTTCCATATCTCTATTCCAGATCATGTCGAAACGCGTGAACTCAACAATTCGTCTCAGAAATTTCATTTCAGCCGCCGGCACCGAGGATATAAATTTTTCAGTCATGGCCTACTATTCATGATCATAGGTGAGAATTGGAACCCTTAACGCTTTTCACTATTCTGCTGTGAAATGTGCAGTGAAATCGGCCATTAGAATGATTGATTCCGTAGCTAGCACTTCGCAGAGAGCATTTTCCACTTTACGCAGGAAAGACTCTATTCTCTTAATTGGGCGTACATAACTGTAGCAGTGTTGAAGCTGCTGCCTGTTCCAGCTTCAATGGAGGACCGTCACTGCTCCGATGACAGACTTCCACTTAATGATCGTTCATCCAGGTTAGGTTCTATCAGAACGTCAACACCGGCCTGAATGCAAGTCGTATAATCGACACCTCAGTAATACAGCTTTCGCCCGAAAAGGTTCAGGATTCCAGAGCACTGGTGCTTT